GAATCCGCCGGTGGAGCAAGCGACTCATTCGCAAATGCAGCCCTGCCCTAAGGAGACGCGCGTCTTAGTCTCGCGGTGACGGCCGCAAGCACCTCTGAGGGAAAGCAGCCCCCAAGATCGCCTGCTGCCAGACCGTCCAGTTTCTCCCCGCTTGAGTCCCGGGTCAAGAATAAGTTTTAAGAAATGTTCTTTCACACTAGATATGTTTGAGGTATGTCAACTTCCTTGGCTAATTTATTTCTATATGTTAGTTTAATAGACAAAATGTCCCCCCACACCCAAAGATATCAGTTACCTTGATTTTTTACAGAAGAAATAAGTAGCAATCATTTCAAATTCTTATTTAAAATTTCAGGGCACGGTATTAGCTAGTCACGTTTCTAACTTTATATGTCATATTTGTACTAACTAAATTAATATTTAGCAACTTTAGGTGTATTGGAGAAGATGAAGAAAGGAAAAGAGTAAGATGCCATTTTCAGGGCCTTTCTAAACATACTATTTTTGTCTGTTTCATAATTAGCAATTGCAGGAAGACTTTTTAAGAAAAGAGTTAGACTGGGATATATTTTCATTTTCTATTTTCCACTTTTCAAATGACCAGCCATCTTCTGAGGCCCAAAAATGTTTAGTTTAATAAATTTGAGACTTAAAGTTCTTATTTCCATAGATTATCATCTCCACTAGGCAAACAATACAATTCTGACATAAAATACACCAGATAAGGACATAATTAAATATTTAGTGTCTTTAGTAGGTTCAAGAGCTCATTCCCTAGGAGTAATAGAAGCTAGTATTAAGAAGTAAATGAAAACAGGGCCAAAGGTCATATCCATTAACTTTCTTAAAACGTTCTTAGAAACTAATTATTATTGCCTTACTTGTGTACATGGAAATAATAATTCATGAACTGTGTGGTAATACTGACAACCATGGCCATTTTGAAAATCATGAATGAATAACTTGATGGGTCAGCAAATTAGCATTTTACAAACTGAGATTTACAATGTGGAATTTAAAAAATCTGGGATAGAGTCATAACATGTAAAAATAACATGTTGGCAATCCGATGTTTATAGAACTGCATTATGATCAGAAATTCTCATTTGCCTATATAAAAATTGAATTACCTGTAAAAATGTTTTAAGATCATGCATTCTCCATTTGAATAATAACAGAAAACAGATGAGAATCCAGGAGTAAACCAAAAAGTAACTAAAGCAGGTGGCACAAAGGTCAAGCCCCAAGCCCTTCATTTACTCCTATGTATACTTATTTGGTATTTTCATTTACAAATTATAATAAATTCAGTGAAATGTTGTGCTGTCAGACATCAGTAGCTGCCAGCCAGAAGGAAGGGAGCCCTCCTTCAAACAGGAATACAACAGTAGCAGAAATTGTTGATGGCTGACAATCTGCCAATGAAAAGGAAAGTAAAAAACCAAAGCAACACAAGAATTTTTTGAAAAAGTCATAGCTGATAAATGAGTGCCAAGTGCCCTCAGTAGCCCCTAAAAAAAAAAAAAAAGTCACTGCATTGTGGAACCTTACAGTAATTTGATAACAACTGTGAAAATGTTTGCCAATCTGTTAAGTGCTCTGCATTCCCCAGTCAGAGGAGCCAGGTTCTTATCCTGATTCTGGTACTAAACCAATGGACATAGACAGTTTCCTCACCTGAAGACAGCGAAAAGAATCCACACCTACTATGCAGCATTGCTAAGAACCAAATGAGACACCCCTAGGAATCTCATGCCTTACATGTATGCTACATGTTATATATTTTAAAAGTTTTGATTCTATTTATTTTAATTTTTACTTTTTGAGTTTAAAAGGATATTTTATTCATCAGAAATATTGCCTAGTGGGGTACACTTTTACCCCGAGAGTTCCGGATATTTGAAATATCTTAAATATGCACATTTTACTGTTGACCAACGTATGACATTTAGGGTCATCAGACATTTTCAGAGGCTCACCTCTAGCTCACTTTCCCTGCTAACTTAGGCATCAGAATACACCAGCATTGCAGGCTGGACCAGCACCATTTGTTAGCCAGTAGGCTTTGGGCAAAGTCCCTTAGCTGAATTTTCTTTTTTTTTTTCTTGGTTTGTTTTGTTAATCCTCACCCAAGAATATTTTTCCATTGATATTTAGAGAGACTGGAAGGGAGAGGGAGAAATAGGGAAAAACATCGATGTGAAAGAGACACATTAATTGGTTGCCTCCTGCATACACCCTGACCAGGGTCAGGGAACATGCAACCAAGGTACATGCCCTTGACCTGGGATCGAACCGAGAGCCTTCAGTCCTTGGGCTGATGCTCTATCCACTGAGCCAAACCAGCTAGTGCCCTTAACTGAATTTTCTTAGAGCCTTTAGGAATAGCTATCTTTTTGTGCTTTGTTTTAATATTTTAGAACAGTTGTTAATCCCTTATTTCCACAGGACTTTAATTTTTTTTTAGAGCACTTATATATCATCAGAAATTCACCCTGCCACCCTGTAAGGTGGATATTCTCTGTTCATATTACTGAAAGAAACGGAAAATATAGACAAATTAAATATCTTGCCAAGTCACACAACCAGTTTGAAATACGATTCCAAGGGAATGATTAAATTGCAATAGCCTTGTGCACACTTTTTAAAATCTTTGCAAAATACTGAGTGCTATTTGGGTACTTCTTATAATCAATATGACAGATATATGTTAATTTACATAAGTAAAAGCAACTGAGAAGTGCAATTTTCCCTGACTCAGACAACGTATATATAATTTTTTATCAAAAAGCAGGATAGCTGAACATGTTTTTGCCAAGCTACTGTTATTTTAGTATTGACATATTTTGAAGCTAACACCACATGCAACTTTACTTCAATTTTGGTTTGGCTGAAGTATCTTCTTCAAAAGCACAGCAATTTAATCCTTTACATTTTAAAAACCGTATTTGTAACAGAAAATACACAAGTAATGAAAAAGTAAACACTCAGAAGACATCCTTCAAATAAGATGTAAAAATCAAGTAGAATAGTCTGCTAGTTTTTTATTGTCTTTACATTTTTTTATGCCTCAAGGCTGCTGGTCTCTTCAATGCAATTCCCAACATTTTGTGGATATTCTTTCAAGGGATGTTTTAAAGGAAAAACATTTGTAAAACTGATCTGAAAAAAACACACAGGCCATGCACTGGACTAGACAATGAGAACTAGTATAGTGAATAGATGAATATGGCTTAGAGGTTATCTAATATCTCTAAATTCTATTATGTTTATATTTATATACAACAAGCAAAACATATTTGAACTTGTGTGAAAATATAGCTTCATTAAATGAAAGAGAAATGTTTGTTGTATCAAAAGTTTTAACAGTGCTTGAAAACATTAAATAATGTAAAGAACCACTGATAAAAATAATGCATTGCAAAAAAGTTTTCATGTACTGTTAAAAATAAAGCACTGCTAGCTATGATACCAACAAACACTTTTATGATTTCTGATTCCATGGGTTCCTATAGCATGTGGGAGCAGTTATTTGTAAATCAGATAAAGTAACTTCATTTACTGAGCAGGTTAATTCCAGAAACACTCCACTCCTTGTGAAATAATCACCTCAGTCTTGATTACTGCCGTTTAAACGTATTGTTTTGCCCTGGTTCATTCAGACAGGTTTGTGCCTTGGACCTGAAACACTGTAGCTTTAATCAGTTCAGAATTGTTGTGGCCCTTGACATTGAAAACATGAAGAAATTATGTTACAGGAGGGTTTTAAGCTTCTAAAACAAACAGCCTTCCCAGCTTTATCGAAGTCACACTGTGCATGAGTTGCTAGTTAATACTTAGGGGGATTATTTCTGGACTGTAATTTTATCAAATGCAGGGGAAACGGTCTTTGGGGATTTAGCAGAATCCTCTTTTAGCTGCC